TTCCCCTGGGTTTTTTTTTTGGTTGGTTTGGTTTTCTTTGGAGGGGGAAAAGGGGAAAGACAGCACAGAAGCTTTGCATTTGCCTCTCCATAGACTGATTTTTTTGGGGGGGGTGGGGTGGTGTTTTTTCTGTTTTCTTTTGTTGTTTTTTTAAATGCAGTTGTACTTCTTACCATCTTGGCACTGAAATGGCCGTGAGCAAGCTCTCCTACAAAAGTAAGCTTCTTGGGTTGTGATCTCTGAAGAAGATGCTTTTTCACTCCTTCTATGGCTCTCATATAGTCTTCCAACAGTCTGTGAATTAAAATCATTCCCAGTTGGCTCACATACATGCAGTTAGAACACGTTTAATCATAGCTGACGTTCAGCATAATCCTTTTGAAACCTTTATTTTCAGTCTAAAGAACAATATTTAACCAAATGTGAAAACTGACAAAAAAACCCTCGAAGTCAACATCAATTGGACATTAATTAGTTATCACTACCATGTAGCAATATTGGGTTTACTTTTCAAGTAAACCCTAAATTTAGGTATTAAAGAAAACATACCCCCAACTCTGTTTCTAGGCAGTAACCGGACTTTATTTCAGGAATCCTCAGAAGTGCAGTAACTGAAATCACAAAAAATCTAGGCTGGTAAGGACCTTTTGGAGGTCTCTACTTGCTTATCCAAGCAATTTTTTAGTATCTCCATCCAAAGATGTAGTAGTATCTCCATCCGAAGATGGAGATTCAATGACTTCGAGCAACCTTTTCCAATGTTTGACCACTCTCATTGTGAAACATTGTTCCCCAGTATTTAATTGGAATTTTCCTTGTTTCAAAGTACTTTTCTGTGGAAAAAAAACCTGTTGAGTAATTCCATTCTGAGGCTCACAATTGTTCATGGTCCCAAAGACAACTGTTCTCCGTTTACAGTGCGGTATGGCTTGAAAAAAGCAGTGATGCAAACTTTCTTTGTAGAGATGCACCTGCTCTGTCTGTAATACTCCTCACATCTGATGTGCTGAGAAAGAAAAGTTTTCTGAGGAGAAGTTTTGAGACTAAGCCTAACTCTCATGCTGTTTTTACCTCAAGTTACCACAGGTCCCTCTTGCTTGCTTAGCTTGCTTTTAAAAACAGTGATATTTTCAGCTGACTGTTGGGCGCACACATTATTTTTCTTTAAGCAGCAAAATACAACAGAAAGTTTTAAAGCGCGCATAATTCTCACACCAATATGAGAAGTGGAAAGAACTTACTCATTTTCTTTTTTCCCACCCTGAATCCATTGCTTGAGCAAATACTCATAGTAGCTGTCAGCTCTGGCTCCCAGAGTATAGACACCCAAGTGAGTGAACTGCCCACTATTGGTGTTTATGAACATAGGCACTAGTCCATCATTTTTCCCTGAGAGGGTGTGAACATGCTTCATCACCTCATCTACAGCTTTCTAAAAGAAAGAAAATAGCAAACATAAATTACAGGTATAAATGATGCACAAAACTGTGGCTAGTAACTTCAGGCTGGTAACAAATCTTTAACTATTCTTCCTCAAATTAGCATCAGGGGCATCCAGTTCAGCTCATGCAATATATTAAATACTGGATTTCAAACTTGCTGACTCTCAAAACATGACGTTCTGGGTACATTTAAGTACTCTGAATTATAACTATTTCCTTTCCTTCAAGTAAGCCCACTCAAAAGCCAGTACTATGGCATGGGACTATGATCTGATTCATATTTGCAAAGTAGAAGTCCACCTAAAATAACAACTATATGATGCATGCAATAGCTAAAACTTCTTCAAATAACTGCACTCCTCAAAACTTGAGCTGTGGACACAGTTTAAAACAATAAAACAACATCATCAAACAAAAAGAAGAGTGGAAAAAATATTCTTTTCTCTGGAATTATTTTATTTCAACTAACTTTTCCTTATACTTTGACCTGCTATCAGACCCTTATCCAGTGAGTCACATTTTAGTTCCTCGGATGGCAACACCAAGGTTTTGTTCTTTGCATTTAGATAATGGCATCAAGAAACCGCACACAGAATTCTAACAACATTAAGCAAGGCAAGGTTTCACAGTCCCCTGTTTAGCTTAATATTTTTTTCAAAATCTGACAACCTAGTGTCAAACAAAAAAGTAAATGATAAAAACTGGGGGGGTGTCGGGGGATGGTGGGGGTGGTGTTTGGGTTTTGTTGTGGTTTGGTTTTGGTTTTTCGGTGTGGTTATGGGTTTTTTTTTTTTTTAATCAAAAGCTGTTTCTGAGGGAGAAAAATAATTATTCACTTCCACTACTACTTTTTGGTATTTAAGAAAATAATTGGAATTACTTTGTTTCTTTTCCTTCCCTCATCTAGAGTTCCACAACTCATTTAATGTCACTTAGAGACTACAGAGACCACGTGTATTGATGGAGAGTCAGTGGTGGAGCTGTAGAGAGGTGGAAAAAGAGAAAAACATCGACTGATTCTTCCATACCTGAAATTTCTCATCTCCAGTGAGACGAGAGAGCTCCCTAAACTCCAGCTGAATACTGGTCACCTCTGCCACAGTGCTGTCAGATGTCCAACGAGGTGGATGTGCAGTGCCCCGGCCAATGTTGACATCAGAATACGGTATCTTGGAGGGGGTCTTGAATGCTGGCATAAGCCTGTTCCCAATGTCTTTCTAAAGAAAACCAAAGAGTACAGGACAAAACAACAAACAAAACAAAAAATAAATATATAGACACACGCACACCCCTTTAGATTTTCTTTCACCAAGCAGACAGGAAAAGAAAATAGCAGCTTATTTTTAAATGGTGCAAGCAAGCCAAGAATTAAAAAGGGTCATGGATTTATTCATAGTAATGACTACAGAGTTTCTACCTTGCTCCTAGTATTGCATGCCTCATTTAAGTCTGCAATCCCTCTGCAACGTGATGTAATTCTGAAGTCATTGACTGCATCTAGCTAATCTAAAGAGGTGGCTGATGCTGTTAAGACACACAGGAAGGATGACAAGAGACAGCTATTACTCTTTGCAACCATTTATTTTGTCTTTTGTTTCATGAACTTTATTATGGTCAGCGCTTCATCAACAGAAGAACAGACATATAAGAATACCTGATAAAACACAGCGAGGCTCTGAGGTTATCCAGAGAGCAAAAAGAAGCACAGGCTTAAAAGATTAATGGTAAATTTCTTTCCCACCACTGCAAAACTGAAACTGTTGTAAAACAGCAACATTTAACTTTCTGATAAATATTCCCTCAACTTTGTCTAATATGGAATACATAATCCAGATTCATTTGTAAGATTAGTCACTCACAGCTTTTTCCAGGAAGAGGCTATCTCCGGAGAGATGGTAGGTGCTCAGCAAGCCCCCCAGGATACGAATAGTGCTCTCAAAGAGATTCACATCCACATTTTTATCAAATACTAAATCGTTTGCTACCCATTTTCTCGCTTCTTCAAATTCTGCAAAGTATAAAAAGTAGTTCAGTTATGAACTTCTGGCATGTTACAACTAGACTAGACACATTAGCAGATATCCATGACAGTTACTTATATCTGTCTACAGAGATCATAATTTTAGGTGGAAAACTAAAGTGAAGAGCATATGTTGGGAGAAGTTTGACTACCATTGGCTTAATTCTTATTCAACATGCACCACAGATGCATACAGACAGAAATACCCAGCAAAATAAGAAGTTCCTAATAGTCTAAAAAAAAAAAAAAAAAAGAAGAAATTGAGGAATTCTTTATTAAAATAGTCCAGAAATTGAGATCTTTTAAGTCCATCCATTTGACTTGTCAGACAATTTACTTATACTTCCACAAGAGCCTTCTGAACTTTTTAATTAAATCTTTTTAAACCAAAGCTGTTATCTACCAAGATAAGAGATAATGGCTGTTAACTGAAAATGTTAACACCTTTAGTCTAGCAATTTTAGTACTGCATCCAGCTCTGGAACCCTCAGCACAAGAGGACATGGAACTGTTGGAGCAGGTCCAGAAGAGGGCCACAAAAATGATCTGAGGGCTGGAGCACCTCTCCTATGAGGACAGGCTGAGAGAGTTGGGGTTCTTCAGCCCGGAGAAGAGAAGGCTGCGGGGAGACCTTATTGTGGCCTTTCAGTACTTAAAGGAGGCCTATAGGAAAGATGGGGACAATCTTTTTAGCAAGGCCTGTTATGACAGCACAAGGAGTAATGGTTTTAAACTAAACGAGGGTAGATTTAGACCGGATAGAAGGAAGGAATTTTTTACAATGAGAGTCATGAGGCACTGGAACAGGTTGCCCAGAGAGGTAGTAGAGGCCCCATCCCTAGAAACATTCAAGGTCAGGCTGGACGGGGCTCTGAGCAACCTGATCTAGTTAAAGCTGTCCCTGCTCACTGCAGGGGGGTTGGGCTAGATGACCTCTAAAGGTCAACCAAAAGCATTCTACGATTCTGTGATTCTAATGTCCTGGGGAGCCTGCCTTACTTTTACTTACCCGTAAAATCCCAACAGTCTGCAATTTTTTCCCCAGAAACAAAAATGGTTGTTTATCATACTACTAATTCAAAAAGGAATGTAGAAAAAGCCATTTTAAATTCAACAGTCAGCTTATTGGCAGCATCACTCAATGACTGCTTTTGCAGAGGGTCTAACTCCATGGTGCATGTGAGTTCGCTTAACCTTCACTGTTAGAGGCATGAGCTATCTCAAAGTATTTCACAACTTCAGAAACTCCTGCTTGTGAGCAGGCACAAAAGAACAGTTTCCCATAAGTGGAAGGTATTCCACAGGTGATTAACTCTAAAGCAAAAGGATGCCTCTGTGTCCTCACGAGAAAAAGTATCTTGGATGTTGGGTAGACTGAGAAGAACCACAGAAAAATCTCTGCTGTCAGATGTTAGCACTATCTAGCAGTGCAACAGAAAAGGTAAGGTCCTCTTTCACAGAAGCATTAGCATTCATCATGTTATAAGAAAGACTGACAACCTCCAAAAGAACTTTCATTTGTTATTCAGAAGAAACTCCAGGAGCTTTCCAAGGCAATCAGCAAAAGAACCGCTATAAAATACGAAGAAGCTTTCACCAAGAACCCATTTTCAACACATCTAAATTACTAATAATTTATTTTAAAAGCTCTGTGCAGTTCACAATTGAGTTGGGGGGGGGGAGGGGGAAGGGGAAAGGGGAGCAGCACACCATCAACTTGATGAAACTTCAAGATAGCCTGCTCAGGCCTAGGGCTGCAAACACATCATACAGGGTTCTCATTTGATTTAATATTTTACACAAAAACTTCAAAGGTAGAAGAACCATGAAAGACTTTCACATTTATTGTACCGTTACTAGCAGCTCTGTTCTTCCTATCTTGACACAAAAAAAATTGCATGACTGGTAAGTTTACAAAGGCGGCTATCTACCAAGGTTAAATAGATACAGTTCCAGAATTTTTTAAATACCACTAAAAAAACCCCTGCACTACAAAAAAAAAAAAACCACAAAAAAAACCCAACAAAAAAACCCCCCGAAAAACCACAAAACAAACCCAAACCAAAAAACTCTTAAATACTCATGAAGCAAATTTTTTGCAACAGAATTGCAGAATTTTTGGCTTAGTTTTCAAAATCTGTTTGAAAGTTTTCTAACAGTCACTTCCAGAATAACTGTGAAAACATACAGACAGCAGAGCAGTTCAGGAAGGAGGTACTGAACACTCCTTTTCCATCCATTGATTCCTTACAGAAACAACCTTCTTAAATCCAGAT